AAGTTGGGGAACTAGGGATCGAGCCCTGGGATCTACCTCAGCTACCACGAATTGGTGAATACCGTTTCATGGTGTACATCTTCTTCTTCTTCTTCTTCTTCTTCTTCTTCTTCTTCTTCTTCTTCTTCTTTCCCTCTCTCCCCTCTCAAGTTCATTCATTTCCTTTTGCAATGGGATGACATTGTACTTTCTCATGAATGTGTACTTCGAAATTGGCCAGGATCATAACAAGGGCCTGTATTATGTTTTTTCACTTGCTGCTGTGCCAGTCGAAGAGGAGCCGGCCGCAAGGCCATTTTCTATCTTTTCGGGATGGGGTGGTGGGTGGGGTGGAGGTGGAGGTGGGGGCAGGGGGGGGGGAGTCGGGATGGGGCAAGTGAAGAAAAACAAACACATTGGCCATAAGACGGCCGGTTATCATCCCTTGTTGAAAATGACTGTACCAGAACATGCAAAGAACTATATATTGGGTAGCAGGGGTGAGGATCAGGGAATTTGGGGCACAATTGTAGAGTAGGTCAGCGAAGGCGGACAGAGAGGGATGGGAGTAAATGTAGGGCAAGAACTGGTGAGGGGAATCAAAGAAACATGGGCAGAGGTGTCGTCGTAAGTGTTGGACTTTATTAGAGGCAGACAGTCCATCAGCGCCCCAAATCGCAACTGAACTTCCCATTTTCCTCTTCCCTTGCCTTCATTGTGTCTTGCTGCTCGAGGAGCAACTTAATCAGGAACATGACAGATGTGAGCATCATGTCTTTTTCAGCAGCAGCCGTTGTGTTTAGATCCTGCTGCCGTTGCTGTTCATCAGCCTCCGATGCATGGATTCCAGAGAGCTGTCTTTCAAGTGCTTGCTGTTTGAGTGCCCTTTGCTTTTCCCTTGCCTCTATCTGTGCCGCTTTACCTGCGATAGAAGTGTGTTCGGTTTCAACAAAGTAAAAAAGAAAAAGAAAAAGAATAATAATAATAATAAGATAAGAAGAAGAAGAAGAAGAAGAAGAAGAAGAAGAATCTTTGCTCTTGGGGCAATGACACAGTCCTTGAGGGCTAACCGAGAAGTGTCTTTTTTTTTTCTTTTTTTTTTTAATGGATGACATTGGATGTGTCCGACTCCAATCACAGCCAAATTCAGTTGACCGTGTACCACTGGTAATCTTTGTTACTCTGTCCGCCTGTCTGAGAAACTGCTAACCGAGACGTGTCTATTGCTGGTTGAAAACTATATTCCAAACCTCCGCGGGGGCCGAAAGGTCACACACACACACACACACACACACACACACACACACATGAGGTTCACATGCCTTATGCCGTGAGAACTATGAAGGTATAGTCCATGCGAGTTTTTGCTTCCATACGTACGATGACAGTCAGTACTGTACTCATGTACGGCACCCCGAGATGTCATGTCCAATTTGTAGACGGGCTGGAACGGCAATGCCTCTATAATTGCGGTGGACATGCCTGTGTGTTCCTAGCATGTACGAGCCACGTACTCTGTGACATCTGTCTGCACCATGCCATTCGATGCAGCAACTGTGACTGCGAAAATTGGATGTGGTGCTTCCATAGCCCACACCCGAACCGGTCCTGTCCGGTCTGTAGGGGTGGCCATTCGCCATAGTTTTTTTTTTTTTTTTTTTTTTTTTTTACAAATCTGTGAGACCCGTCATACACCTTTCCCCTGCTCTTGCATGCCACTCTATCCTGCCCTCCACATATTTCTTTCCTTCCCGTTGCCCCTACCTCCCCTGCCCCATACTCCTAGAGAACTCCGCCTTCTATCCCTTACCCTCCACCCTCCCCTCCACTCCCTTTGTACTACTAACAATACATACGAATGAGCATCATTAAGAGTATAGACGATATGAAGATCAGAAATGAAATGAACGGAAGTATGAAGATGAAGGACGGACACAAAGGCTGTATAAGCTGAAGATCTGAAATGAAATGGACAGGAGTTGAAGCTCTGAAGAGATGCACAGCAGCATACCTTCCCTTTTACTCTGCCTCCTGAAATAACGTGCAAGTGGGCCGTTGAGGCACACGGGGATGTGGGCAGCTGCCGCTCAACCACAATCAACGTGGGCGGCCTTGCGCGTAAGAGGCACAGTAAAAGGGGAGCTGCAAGAACAATGAAAAGGGTACCCCAAGGACAACCAAAAAACTGTCTAATTATAAAATTGTTTTAATATGTTGGACATCTCAAATGCTCTCGTTGTCTGCAATAGGATGAAGACTGCGTTGATTCTGAATCTATTCACCTGGGTGGAATTGGGGCTGTTGTGGGGAAAATCTAAAACACACACACACAAAAAAAAAGAAAAAAGAAAAAAAAAGATAAGAAGAAGAACACCAACTGGCCTAGCTCAGTTGGTACACTCCTGAGCTGTTGGAATACAAACCTGAGCTCGAACTCTACTCGAAGCAGAGTGAACAGATGGAGCAAAACACTGCAAGTTTGAATTATCTAGGGCCGGTCAGTTCAAATGATGATTTCTCAAGGCCGTTGCCCTTTCTTTTAAGAAGAAGAAGAAGGAGAAGAAAAAGAAGAAGAAGTCTGTTCAGATCCTGTGGAAGTAGAGGGAGTTACTTTGGACAAGGTTGCTGGTCTGACCGACTTTCTTTTCGCACTCTGCTTCTTTTTCTTCAGGAGTACGCAAGCGTTTGTGCACTATAGGTTGCAGCTGTCCAACCGGCCTAGTATTAGCACGTTCCCGAATTGCTCAGCCACAAACACTGTTACACTCGGCTGTAGCCGCCATCGTCTCTGTCACAATGACTACAATGACATGGTTTCTGCATCCATGTGTGCAGAGGACTGCCCCACCGTTCCTGACTGCAGGCACCCTCCGCATCCGGACACTATATGTCCATTTTGCGGCCATGGGCGCTATACTGAATGCATGCTTTTTTGTGGTGACCGTTCTTCTTTCATTTTGGCCTGCAATCGACATGCCATTTGTCGGGGGTGTATGGTGGGCATGCTCGATGTCAGCCGTCGTGGCAATTGTTGCACTGAGAATGCTCAGCTAGGTCTTCCATGTGTTCATCCACCTCATCCTTACAATGTATGTCCTATCTGACGTCAAGGACAGGCTCATTCTTGAGCCTTTTCTTATCCTCTTTTGCCTTCATCTTCACTCCACACTCCAGAGTCCACACTTTCGCTTGCCTTCCCTTTATCGTTCTTTGTGTGTCTGCTGTCCATCTCTCTTCCCTGTGTTTATCCGCTCCCCCTTCACTCTGCCTCTTTCTCACAGTGTACAAGTGGGCTGTTATGGCATACGGGGATGGGGGCAGCTCGCGCTCCGTGGCGAGCCTTGTACATGAGAGGCACGGTGAAAAGGGAGTCAAAAGAAGAATGAGAAAAATGAATGGTTTCACTGTGCTCTTCATGTTTGTCTGATTTTTTTAATGTTTTATTCTTGCCGTTTGTTTTGCAAAGTGCGCTCTTTTAGTTCATAGTTATGTGACAATATACATATATTATATATCTATATATATTGTCACAGCCCCTCGTTTGTTGTCTTCTTCTCTCTCTGCCTACGGTTTACCGGGCAGTTCTGTTTGTGACGATATATATATATATATATATCATCAAACAGAACTGCCCGGTAAACCGTCAGCAGAGAGGGAGAAGAGGACAACAAACGAGGGGCTGTGACAAACTGTTTTGTCGCAGTTTCACCGACTCATCTGGAGGCTAGATAATATATATATTGAAAAAAAAGGGGATTGGGTAGCCGCTAACGTTCAGTACTGAATCTGCATGCATCATGATTTGTAGTTTGAATTCATATATTCTTCTGAACAGGTACATGTGTACCATTCATCCACAGGGTAGTGGCAGCTGACTGTTTTGCTCTATGTGGTTGGCTGGCGGTTTTGTGCTTGGCTTGTCCTTCAGCTATCCGATTCCTCCTTTCGATTTCTCTGTTCCAGGTGTAACATCTGTGTCGGCTGATATCCACAAGTATGGCCTTGGTCCCAAGGGAACGTCCGTGGTTCTCTACAACAGCCACGAGCTAAGGAAGGTATGCATTTTTGCTGTTCTACGTTCTAACTTCTCAGGGCTAGTCACATTAGGACTGTTTGAACTTCTCTGTGGACGGAATTGTGGTCAGGTGAGAGATGGTCAAACCCTAATTTCAGTTTTGGACCCATTAAGTACGGTGTTAACACAAGAGCTGAAAGTGGGGGTCCCCGTTAACCACGTGTGGCTGAGGTACATTCTAGCCCTGGTCAGAAAGCGGTAGTGTGAGTATGCCCTCACTCCCACTAGAGAGATGGTGGTGCACTAGAGGACATATGTTGGCTTTCTCGCTCCAACTGGGTAACTGGTGGGACAGTAGCAGACCGCCCAACTCAGGGCCAGGCTCCACTGATGACCATGTTCATGCTCCTGGTCGAGGGAATTGCCATGTTCATGCTTTCCTTAGCATGAACATAGCACGAGTGGAGCCTGGCCCGAAATGAGTTTGAATGGTATCACCGATGGAGAATGTGAAAGATGGATGGGGGGCTGAGAATCCATGGTTATCTGTACTTGTCCTTATGGCCGAATGGTACCGTGATACAGCTAACCATGGTAAAAGGATCGAGTCCCAAGCAATACAACACTGGTAGGGGCTAATGCTCTTTAGGAAAAGAAACCATGGCCGGCGATTCTGCTATAGGTCACCAAGCCAATGGTCCTTGCCAGTGTAATGCTCTCGGGGGGGAGGGGGTGCATCCGAGGGACTCGGTACGCAGAGTTCGCCTTCCGCCTGGGGAGGGCAATCCTCAACCAAGCACACCGAACAGGAGCCTGAAAGGCTTTCCACGATTCAGACCCCAAATTCGGATCTCAGGGTCAGATGCCCAGGCCAAGAAAAGGTCGAGTTCGTCAAACTCAGAAAAGTCACAATCGGGTCCCTCAGCAGTCTGGTCCAACAGGCACCCAGCAAACAGTCACGTCTCAGGGACAAGAGTCACGTCTCATAATAAAAGCCATTCAGAAGAGTCACATTCCACGAGTGAAAAGGCAGATTCACCAAGCAAGAGTCATGTCTCAAGACAGGAGTCACGTTTCCTAATGAAAAGTCATATTGACGAGACACATCCCACGAGTAAAAGGTAGTATCACAGGCAAAAGTCGTGACCCACAGGCAAGAGACACTGTCCACAGTCGAAAGTCATGTTCACAAGTGAAAGTCATGACTCAAGGGCCCAAGCAGGAGCAGTCCAATGGAAATTCGGGAAGGTTCCTGGCCTTGACATTCAGTAGCAGACAGGCCGTGGGGATATGGTACCGGAACCAGACAGGACCCAAGAAATAGAGGCTGGCACGAGTTGAAGTGCAAACCAAGACTACAAAAGGACTGGCCAGCCTCACATTCGGGCAGATTGCTCATTCGCAAGGAGTGTTGAAGTGCTGGTGCACTTGTGCGCTGAAATGAGGAGCAGAGCGCTGAGGCCAGAGTGCTGCGCTAAGTGAGGGAGAGAGAGGAAGATAGCGCTGGCAGGGAGAAGGCAGCCATAGCTGCGCCAGTGCAGAAGTGTTAGTGCTAGTTGTGAGTAGTAGACTCCAGAGGGGTTAGTAGGGTTGACAGTGGGTGTATTCAGAGTAGATCCATGAAGTAGTAGATAGTGAGGTTGACAGTGGGTGTATTCAGAGTAGATCCATGAAGTAGTAGATAGTGAGTGTGAATGCATGTAGGGAGAGAAGATACAGCGAGGTCATAGCTAGGGAGAAGACCAGCAAGGTGGAGAGAAACATAAGAGGGAAGAGCAGAGGGGAAGAGATACTTAACTGAGAGTTTATGCTGATTATTGGTTACCTATTGGCACGCGCTGATAAGCGCTGGTGACTTGAACTCTTATTGCTCTTGTAATACTTTCTGGAAAAGATAAGCTGTGCTACCTGGTCTTCATCTCTCTGGTCTCCAGTGTGAATTTCGTGTGAACTCATACATGCATCGGGTTTGAATATCTGCACTCATTGGTGTTGAACTAGGAAGTTCATTGCAAGTCTGAGGCTCACAAGCGGGGATGAAAAGTCCCTAAGGAGTCATGTGTGTATGGGGAAGGGTGTTAGGGAATTACGATGGCCAGTCACCCCCAGGCTATAGAAAGCCTGATCCTGCCACCCACAACCCCTTAAAAATATATGTAGTTGCAGGGCAGTCGTTGATGCTTAACCACAGCCGGGGTTAAGGTGGATTATGACTTACAGTGTAATCAGTTAGGGGATTCTGCAGACTGTTGAGGGTTCAGCCTCCTCGTGAGTCGGTGAAACTCCGACGAAACAGTTTGTTGCAGCCCCTCGTTTGTTGTCCTCTTCTCCCTCTCTGCCTACGGTTATCCGGGCAGCTCTGTTTGACGATATCTGTTTTTTTTAACTTTTTTAAACTTTTTTTTTTTTTTTTTTTTCGCCGTTTGTTTCGCAAATTGCGCTCTTTTAGTTCATAGTTATGTGACAATATATTGTCACAGCCCCTCGTTTGTTGTCCTCTTCTCCCTCTCTGCCTACGGTTTACCGGGCAGTTCTATTTGACGATATATATATATAAAATGATGGTGTTTTCTTGCTACAACAAACCGTCCGCAATCTCTTTTATGTCAAAGATCATTCCTCTGGCCCCGTGCTGCAGCAAGACAATGTACCAACACTCTGCAACCTTCTCCTTTGCACCGCCACAAACACTGTTACACTTGGCTGTAGCCACCATCGTCTCTGTCACAGTCACTACAATGACATGGTTTCTGCATCCATGTGTGCAGAGGACTGTCCCACCGTTCCTGACTGCAGGCACCCTCTGCATCCCGGACACTATATGTCCATTTTGCGGCCATGGGCTCTTTTGTGGTGACCGTTCTTCCTTCATTTTGGCCTGCAATCGACGTGCCATTTGTCGGGGGTGTATGGTGGGCATGATCAATGCCAGCCGTCGTGGCAATTGTTGCACTGAGAATGCTCAGCCAGGTCTTCCATGTGTTCATCCAGCTCATCATTACAATGTATGTCCTATCTGTCGTCAAGGACAGACTCATTCTTGTGCCTTTTCTTATCCTCTTTTGCCTTCATCTTCACTCCACACTCCGGAGTCCATACTTTCGCTTACTTTCCCTTTATCGTTCTTTGTTTGTCTGCTCTCCATCTCTCCTCCCTGTGTTTATCCCGTCCCCCTTCACTCTGCCTTTCTCACAGCGTACAAGTGGGCTGTTATGGCACACGGAGATGGGCGCAGCTCTCTTAACTTCATCAACGTGGCAAGCCTTGTACGTGAGAGGCACGGTGAAAGGGGAGTCAAAAGAAGAATGAGCAAAATGAATGGTTTCAGTGTGCCCTTCATGTTGTCTTGTTTTTTTAATTTTTAATTTTTGCCGTAAAAGGGCCTTTACGAATCAGACCCCAAATGGATGCCCCAATGGCAAGGGGCCCTGTCGGCCAGAACTTAAATTCACGAACAGCAACCCAAAAGACAAAGTTCCTGAGGCAAATGTCGCATCCATAATGAAATGAAAAGACGTTTTGAACAGTCACAAACAGGTCCTGCACGAACAGGTATTGGACACAGTTTTTAAGACTGAGAAAGGGTCATATATCCTCGATGAAAAGTCACGTCTGTTCGCCAATAAGTCAAAGGCTACAGTCCCAGTCCAGTCATAATCCCACGAGTCAGTCCTGATTCAGACCGGGAGTCCAAAAGACAGGCCCGATGGCCCAAAGCAGCAGCAGACCCTGGGATAAGATACTGGGACACACACTTCGCAACAATCGGTACGGGGCAGGAGTCCCAGGCACACTTGAGGCTGAATGCAGGCCACGCCAGACCAGTCCAGCACTATAAAGGACTGGCCAGCCTCCCATTCGGACAGATGCTCACTTCGCATGAAAGTGTGGAAGTGTCGTGGCACTTGTGTGCTAGGTGTGTGTGAGCTGCGCTAGGCTGAAGAAGCAGCCCTATGAGAGAGGGAAGAGAGTGCTGGCTAGAGGGAAGGCAGCCGTAGCTGCGCCAGCGCTAGTTAGAATGTTAGTAGGGATAGACAGTAGGAGATACCAGTGAGTAGTATTCAGAGTAGATCCTCGTGTGATAGGGAGTGTGCATGCATGATGAGTGAGGGTAGACCAGGACTTTAGACATAGAGGGAGAGAGAGAAGAAGGCAGACGAGAGAGGGGGAAGTGTGAGCTATGGTGACACTTACCTGTTGAGCGCTGTTGTTGACATTTGGCAGCTGACGCTGATGAGCGCCAGGCTTGGAACTCATGTTGAACGAAGAAGAGTTGTAACTCTGTTCAGCGCTATACACTTTGAATTCACGATGTTCTCTCTAATTCTGGGTTTGATAATTGAGTTGTTTCTCATTCATCTTCTATTGGGTTTTGTGTGAGACTTCGCAATCTGTGAAATCAGTGTATATGCATGTGATCAGATGCACTCCAGCAAGTGATGAACAGTCGGGTTCCTTGCAAATTGGTATCGGAGCAGAACTTGTTACTCTCACTGGACGTGCTGGCATGATCAAGGACGGCGAGAAGAATAAGCTGGCTTGAGTATGGCTAGCGAGAGATGAAGTAGGAGGAGAGGTGAAGAAGAGTTGGATTGGGATAGAGGGGGGAAGTTTGCCGAAGAAGAAGGGGCTAAGGAGGAGAAGACTTACCTGCGATTGGAGCGATTGGAGCGAATGTGGAGTCTTCATCAACGGGTACAAAGCAGAGAAGAACCTCCTGCCCACTTACCTCGATTGATTACAGATCTGTGTGTCGTGTATCTTTTTCCCCTCCTTTCTGGTGGTCGCTGCTGCTGTCTGGACGAATTGGTGGTCTGGTCTGGTCTGAATGTCAGGGCTGTAGAGTCTGGGTCAGGACAGAGAGTCAATACCTGGTTCCATCACTCTGACATCTTGTAGTAAAGATAGGGTTGCACAGGGAGTCGAGGCAGAGTGCCATGTCAGATTGCAAGTGGTCAGAAGCAAAGCCGAACTAGACGAATCCAGCCTGTATGGAAGTATAGTTCCACCATATTTGACATTGAGAGAACTTCGACTTATCCCTGCACCCAAAGGCTACCATTCAGAACAGTAGCATCTGCAAAGGACCCAGCCAGACAAACGTTAGTAAAAGAAAAGTAATATTGAAGTGATAAACAGACAGCAACAAAACAAATTAAAGAAACAAAAGGAAAAGGGATTTTGTTTTTGATTAGGAAAGGAGTAATTGTTATTTGCATTATTATTCGTTATTCTGGAGCAGCGACAACCAGATATATAAAAAAAGTGCAGATCCCATCCATGCAGAAGGTAGATTAGGATATGAGGGTATCATCTTGGTGAGCCAGCGGAGGCCATCTCTGTGCTGACACTCACCATGGACGACTACCCCATGCAAGGTCTGCTGGCCCTTTCAGTGTTGTTGGGGCCACTGTTCAACATCTTCTTCCCCCTGGGGTTTGGGAGGATATGTACCTCCCGTATGATGATGAGATCAGGCAATGTGAAGCCAGGGCCCTCGGCTGCAGAACAGGCTGAAGTGAAACGCCGCAGGCCGAGAAAAAGAAAGAGAAAGAGGATAGGAAGAGACAGAAAGAGGAAGAGATGAAAAAGAAAGTGCAAATGGAAGAAGAAAGAATGAAAAAGGAATTGAAAGAGAAAATGGAAAAGGAATTGCAGGAGGAATTAAGGAGTATAGAAGAAGAAGATGGACCTGCAGAGGATACAGACAGACTCGTCAGACGTCGGCCTGAAAGGGGCGAAAGCAGTCAGACTGGTGGGTTGAACATCTAGGTCAGTTCCTTAAACTGGTATGACCAGTACAGCTATTCCAGTGACAGGATTGAAGAGACGAAGGAAGAAAGGGACACGGTTGTCGCCAAATTGGCATCAATTAAGGATAAAAGAGAAAAGGAACTCTTGCTAGAAGAAAAACGAGCAGAACTGCACAGCAAAATATTAGCTGCAAAGCACCAAGAGCTCGAAGAAAGGAAAAAATTGCATGTAGAGGGAGAAAGGTTGCAAAGAGAATTACAGGCGCAGAAAGAAAAACAAACAGCAACCGAAGAACAACTTGCCCTCCTAACAACAACAATTCTCCATACAAAACAAGAGTTGGCGGCAATGAACAAGACCTTACAGAAAGTTGAAGCTCACCAGTACGAGTTTGAGGGAGTCTGGAATACCTTCCTGCAAAGATCTGCTGCAAAAGTCGATCAACATGTACAAGCATACATTGTAAAATTAGACGAGAAGATCAGCAAGACTTCAACACCCGCCGTGATTGAGAAATTGGTAAGTAGCGGCGGAGGAGATGGAGGAGATGGAAAAGGTGATGGAGATGGAGATAGGAAGAAGAAGGGTGTGCTACAAGAAGATGCCTGGGGAGTTAGAAAGATAAAGGTAAAGGTGTCGTGGACATACACTGACAAAAAGGAAGAAAGTGTTTTACATTGGATTGCTGCGGTTGAGTCCTACATGTATGGGCAACGTATACCATATTGGGACAGAGTTCTCATGGCCAGTTCGTGTATGGCCGGAGATGCAATGAGTTTTGCAATCTCCCTGCAGAAGGAAGCTAATTGTCAATCTATGGTAGAGTATTCCCAGCAGACCCGCATTGAAGGTTTCTTTAAAGCGGTTCGGAAACGGTTTGAAGATAAAAACTTAACCCGAAGAACTGAAATGTTAATCCTAATATCGCAGACAGGAAATGGAAAAGTGTATCTGCACTTAAAGCTACCATGGACGAACTTCTGCAATGCACTGAACATGGGCTCACACCGACGCAGATCCTCAATAACTTTGCTAGAGCACTACCCGATCCTCTCCGCACTCAATTATATCCCCGTACCAAGGAAGAGGGAATGGCTTATGAAAAGTTCGGCACGATCGCATTAGATCATGCTGGCTTCTTGGCCGAAGCCAATTACTGCCATTACTGGAAAGATCTGCAAGCGGGAAAGAAGTGGCAGAACCGCACCATCTCAGGGTATATACCTGGGAAAGACAACCTCATTCTGACCTTTGAAGAAGGAGGTGTCGAAACTATTTCCTACGACCAAATAGACTACGGTCTGGAAGGAGATACACACAGCGGACCGATAGTTCAGGAGGGGGACTACGTGGCCGTTGTAGCAGGCGGGGGAGGGCGGCAAGGAAGAGGTCGTGGCCGTGGAAGAGGAGGCTGCGGACGTGGAGGAAGAGGACCCGGCACCCAGAGGGGTGGTGGATAAGGAAGCTACTACGTGGGAGGAAGGGGTAATGGTCCCTCGCAAGGTGGCCGAGGTTCCAACTCCACATGGGGTAGAGGAAGAGGCACGTGGTATGGGAACTGGGACAAACCATATCCACCCCATCCTGGCTTGCCCGAAGGCAAAATTGGGAATTACATAAAAAGTTTGGCAAGAGAGAAAAGTCGCCGATCAGTGCCTCAAATGTGGTGACCCCAACCACATTGTTCCCTTCTGCCCAAATTATAAACAACCAAAAGGGAACAGCCAGTAGGGGTTTCAGTTGCCTCTACAGGAACTTCGGATGCAAGCATACTGACATCCTCCCATTCGAAGGTTCCCGTGGCAGAAACTGAACAGATAAACGACCCCCACCTAGTCTGGTGTCCAGAGGTAGTTAGTGTATGTACCTCTCTAGGTGGTTCCCTCGCAGGCGTGGGTGATGAGTTGGCCACTCGTCGCAAAGCCTGGGTCGAAATGAAAAAGCAGAAAGGGCAGCTAATCATTGCAGATTTAGAAGTCAATAAGGTAAGAGTAGGCGGTTTGATTGACAGAGGGTCAACACGCAGCTATATTAGTAAAAAAGGATTGCAAAAGTTGCGTCTCGGGCTAAAGGTAAAACAATTGGATGAGCCTGTAGTAAGTAAAATAGCAAATAGTACTGAGATTGTATTGGATAGATATGTTAAGGGGATTCAGACATACTTCCGGCTCGAAGCAGAGGGGAAGGCGGAACGCGTTCTCCACTCTCAGACTCTCTTGGTGGAAGACAGTCTCCCTTTTGACATTCTCCTAGGCACAGATTGGGGGGAAGCTGTGGATGCGGATGTAAAGTTGAGGGACCATGAGTGTTGGCTCCCTAGTCCGCAAGGTGGGAAGAAGAAAATCCACCTATATCATGAATCGATCCCTCAACTAAGCTTTCAAAAGCCTCCGAACGATCAGTTCAAGTGTGGGAAGACCCCAGGCAAGTCATCTGTTGGGCCCAAAACCAGTGCAGCAGAGACAGTGTGTGGGGTCGGCTGTTGTTTTTTTGGCCGTGTTTTTTTTGTTGTGTGTGTGTTGTTCTGCATGTTCTCTCTTTTCCTTTTGTTGTGTTGTCCCTTTTTTTTTTGGGTGGTAGTTTTACGTGCTTTCTTCTCCAACACAAATTACATTGGGGTTCTCTGTCTTGGGTGCAAGTTTCTTTGTTCCCCGCAGCCCACTGCACGTAGCATCACCCGCATATCCCACAGTGTCACACCCAGCCTACGTAAAATCACCCACGTAACCCGTGTCGTACTCCCCAGCCCCTACAGCAGTGCCATCCAGTCCACATAGTATCACCCACCCCACATAGTACCTCACAGCCTGACGACATGGTCCACATTGTACCACCCAACCCGCGAAGTATCACCCATGCCACAAAATACCACACAGTTGACATTGTGCTCGTTCTGTTTTGTGCCCCGCAGCCAGTCCACCTAGTCCACATGGGACCACCCAACCATAGTATCACCCATGCTACATAATTACAGCCAGCCCACATAGTACCATCTAGTGGTGCCACAGTGTGCTCCTTTTTTTTGTGCTTTGTTAGAGTCGTGTCTGTGTGTCTGAGTTTTTCTAGTACCTGCTATATGGACTGGGCTGTGGGAGAAGAGGACCACCTTCCGTCAGCCCAGCCCATACTAGAGAGAGAGAGAGAGAGAGAGATTGCTGAGTATGACAGGTATAGCTTACAGTTTCTCCCTCCTAGGTAAGCTATTTTGCCTCCACAGTCCAAGTTCCCTCCTGGTTGCATTCC